AAAATGGGACCCCACCCTCTCTTACCTACCTGTCCTGGCCCTCCACACACCAACCAGCCCCTGGGACAGGGCAGCCCCTTGTCCACACTCCCCTTCCCACCGAGGAAAGGGACACAGCTGCTCACAGTGTGACCGCACGCCGGGAAGGGACACAGCTGCTCACAGTGTGACCGCACCGCCGGGAAGGGACACAGCTGCTCACAGTGTGACCGCACCGCCGGGAAGGGACACAGCTGCTCACAGTGTGACCGCACCGCCGGGAAGGGACACAGCTGCTCACAGTGTGACCGCACCGCCGGGAAGGGACACAGTGCCTCACTCTGCCGTGTTTCTGCCGAGCACAGGCCGAGTGTGGGGACAGGGCACAGAGCCGCCCTGTCTCCCAGCTGCTCTCGCCCAGCCCTGAAAGCCCACTGCCGACCACCAGTGAAAGGCTCTATTCACACCATGCGCGGCCTCCAACAGCCAGCCTGTCGCACGGGCGCAGGTGCAGGCCCTGCCCGGCCTGCGAGAGCTGCCACACTTACAACATCCTTTCACCGTGTGAAGTGAAGCTGCAACATCACCTTCAAAGGATTTTGTCTGGTTTTCTTACCAACAAGGACACGCAGCTACATAACCACAGGATCACGAGCAAAATCAGGAAACTCAGAAGATGCACCGAAACCCCGTCCCAGCGAGTTTCGCCCATCACCCCAACAATCTCCTTCCCGGCACAGGCCGGCAGGACCCTTCCTGCCCAGTGCCCGGCCTGTGACTCTCCCTCCAGCGTGGCCTCTGCCACTCACACACACCCCTGCCCCAGCCATCCTCCCGGCCACACTGCTCACTCGCTCCCTGCTGGCATCACGCTGGGGAGCCCTCCTCTCACATCCTGGGGTGAAACCCCCACAGCCCAGGGCTCGGACCGCCCAGGGGCTCTCCCAGCCTCACCATGCAGACACCCTGCTCAGGCCAGCGCCCCCGCACCTGCCTGCCGCGGGCTGCGCAGGCGACAGAAAACTCCACTCTTTAAATTCGAAATCTACTACGAAGCTGGCTTGACCACCCCCCTGCAGTCACCCTGACCACCACCTGCAGAGGACCCCGGCCACCCCCACTCATCTCCCAGCCACTGGGGCTCCCGTCCATGCTCGGGTGCACCAGGCCCGGGTTTCCGGGGGTCCGCACCGCACCCAGCCCGGAACAGCTAGCTGCCTGAGGTTCTCACACCTCTGTCCTCCTGCCCCACTCCCCGGTCTCACTTCACCGGCCCCGCCCCCTGCTCCGGCCTCCCGGCGGCTGGGCCTCCAATGCAGAGGCGGTCAGAGCCTGGCCTCCTGCTCCCGAACCCTCCTGGCCCCTTCAGGGCTGGTGCTGTGCGGATTCCCTCCTGGCAGCCCTCTGCCTCTCCCCAATGGCCCCTCCCGTGAACTCCACATAAAGCAGCATGACCCCAAGGTCACAGGCCACGTGCCAGCTGAGAAACCGGAATGAACAGCCTCACCTTCCTCTACATCACTGTTCCCGATCGGCACGCTGCCTTCCTCCATATCCACATCAGCCCGAGCCCGGCCCTGCGCCCCAGACCTGCCCTGTCCCACACAGGACCCGCCCGCTGAGCAGGGCCGCTCCGCTCCTCCGCAAAGCCTTCCAGGCCAGCCACGCCTTCAGTCCCACCTCGAGCTCCAGCCTGTGTGGCCCGTGCCAGTGAACGCTCCTACACCGAGCAGTCAGGTCCAGGCTTTGGAACCCACAGGCCTGCATCCACACCCTGGCTTTACCACGTGAAAAGCCAGGGCATCCTGGACAAATATTCAAAACCAGTGCCCTGGTGCACGAATTCCTGCACGGTGAAAGGAAATTAATCTAGCCGAAACCGGTTTGGCTCAGCGGTAGAGCTGTCAGTCTGCGTGCGGACTGAAAGGTCCCAGGTTCGATTCCGGTCAAGGGCATGTACGTTGGTTGCGGGCACATCCCCAGTAGGGGGTGTGCAAGAGGCAGCTGGTCGATGTTTCTCTCTCATCGACGTTTCTAGCTCTCTATCTCTCTCCCTTTCCCTCTGTAAAATATCAATAAAATATACTAAATAAAAGAAAAAAAGAAAGGAAATTAATCAGAAGGTGGCCGCCAGGGCGGGACTGGGCAAGATGAGCCGGACACGCCCTGGAGCCAACCTCCTGCCGTGGAGTCTGTGGCTCCTCCCGCAGGTGGGGTCCCGTGGCCTGGCCTGTGGGGACCGGGCTGAAACCAGCTCTCCCACATCCCCTAAGGCAGGCGTCCTCAAACTTTTTAAAGTGGGGGCCAGATCACGGTCCCTCAGAGAGCTGGAGGGCCGGACTATATGAATTACTAATTCCTACTGTAACACCTTGGCTGCACTCACTGCCCAAAAAACCTGGCGGGCCGGATCAGACTCCTGCGGGCCGCATGTGGCCCGCGGGCCGTAGTTTGAAGACGCCTGCCCTAAGGGGTCCCAAAGCAAAGTTGCAGTCATACAAGCTGTGGGACGAAATGCAAGTGTGCAGTAACCAGATTCGGGCCGACAGTGCCCCAGCCACAACATAACCCACGGCCGACTGGCCCCGAAGGAACCGGGCTCCCTCCTCTCGGGTTCTGGGGTGCATCACCCGAGAACCGCGGCTGCCAAGTCCCTCAGCTCGGCGAGGTCAGAGCGACAGGTGGGACAGTAGGAGGGGCACTTAGCCTGTTGGCCCTTTATACGTACAGATGAGTCAGCTACACACTAAGGAGCCACTCCAGGCTCGGGGCAGAGTGGAAATGTGTACGAGGAGCCTCGCCCAGAACCGCACCTGCTGAACACGGCGCACCTGGGATACAGCACGTGTGCGTGTCTGCGATCTCCTCGGAAGGGAGCCGCACATCTGAGGGCGACACAGGAAGTGTCAGGGCAGAGCAGGGAGCCCAGGGGAGCCCAGCCGGAGTCCCGTGCTCCTGGGCCTGTGCAGGCAAGGCTGGCATGCAGGACTCCAGCCCGGCCCAGGCCCCAGCACCCTCCTCCAGCTGTCTCTTCTACAAGCAGACAGGGCATTTTAATCAGCTCCCCAGGTGACCTGGATGCACATTAAACTTTGAAAAGTACTGCTTTAGCCAATGCCCCCCTTTCAGCCCATGCTCCCCCCACAACACCATAAATGTTTCAGGCCCTGGGCTTGTTTTTCGTGTATTTCCCACAATGCTGCACGGGAGCAGTGCACACATGCAGCAGGAGCACCGACTCTGAAGGCAAACTACCCCGTTCCAACCTGCCACACGGGTGAAGACCCCAGGAGGCACGCACAGGGCCTGGCACCCAGCAGGCCCGGGCCAGCCAGCTGCTCAGCGGCTGCTGTGAGCCGTGTGCCCTGGGGGGGATGTCTCGGAGGCGCTGACATATAAGGAAGACCAGTCACAACCATCATTTGGGAGAAGAGACCTCTAAGCAGAAGAAATGGAAAATGACCAGGGGGTAGCAGCTCGGACCCCAGTCCGGAGCCACTGGAGGGACCGATGTGACATGCCTTCAAAGAGCACTCTGGGCCTGTGTGAAACCAGGGGAGACCACCTGGGACGCTCAGAAATGGGGAAGGCGAGAGGAACCTCAGCCTGGATGACACGCTGTGAGAAGCGGCTCGGGGCCGGGCTGTCTGGGACCTGGCGGAGGGGCTGCGGCGGCTCCAGGTCTGCAGCCTGAGCCGCTAAGTGAGGTGAGAGATTCGGCCCCGGCGTCCAGGGGGAGCAGGCGAGGACGGCGGCCGGTGGCGTCTGACACTGACGTCTGGAAAGTGGGGAGAGCGCCTGTCTTGGGACGTGACTACTAGCCTTGAGCACAGGCCAGAGCCTCCTTTCGCCATCTCTCACTGCCCACGTGTGCTCACGGGCACCAGGAGCATCTCAGGCCAGGGTGACGGTGGTTCCTGGAGGGCCGTCTGCACAGGGTGTGGGACAAAATGCGAGTGCGCACAGACCCGATGCCGCCCTGGGGGGGTTTGTAGAGCGGGGCCTCAGCAGCCGGGAGAAGAGGGGGAATCCAGGGTGCAGAATGGGTACTGGTCCCCAAAGACCGGCTCCCCTTACAGAAGAGAAACAAGCAGGACAGCCTGGGGACGGGGCGAGAGGTGTGTCTTCCATGGGAAGCCCAGCAGGAGAGGGGGGGCGGCCCAGCCTGTGGAGGGATCTGGAAAGATTAAGGCCTGGGGGAGCCCTTACTTCTCCTAATGCCTGGAGGCCCCACTTACCCTCGGCAGGTCTGGGCCCGGGACAGCCAGGGCTTTCCTAACAGAAGGAAGCGTCCTCCCGCTGGTGGACGGGCTCCGGGAGACCCCTCCACACGAGCGCGGCTCTCGCCAGGAGCCTGGCACACCCACCAGCCTGCCGGCGCCACGGATCGGGGCCAGCCCTCACCTTTTCCTGTCACCTAAGTCCTCAGCGAAACCTGAGCGAGAACAACCCTGGGACAGATGCCTCCGAAGCCACGCTCCTTTGTTCGGCTCCTCCTGACCGCTCCCCACACGCCGTCCTGGGTGCTGGGGGCCCAGGAGATCCAGGCCCCTGGCCAGGCGGGGGCACAGGGCACAGGGCGCAGAGAGAGGCACAAAGCCAGAAGGGCCGGGAGGGCAACCTCAGCGCATCCGACACGGAGAGCGAGGCCCCGGGGCGCTGGTGACGGCGGCCTGGCCTTGCCCACCACCTTCTCCGGGCAGAGCCAGCTCCTTCCACGGCTGACCCTGCCCCCTCCGCCGGCGCCGCCTGTGCCCACCGGCTCCTCCTCATGTCCCACCGGCCTGGCCCAGGTCTGCGCTCAGCACCCGCCTAGGAAGTTCCTGGAGGCCGGGAAGACGGCTCTGCGGCCAGAGCCGGGCCCAAGCCCCGTCCTGCCACTTCCTGGCTGTGTGGCCCTGGGCAGGTTGCTTAACCTCTCTGCGCGCCGCGTCCCTGCGAACCTGGCCCGGCGAGCAGGTGCACCTCCCGGCCGCCCCCCCGCGGGCCGCCCGGCCGCGCAGGCCCGCCGCTCAGCTCACCCAGTTCCCGAAGCCGAACTGCTCGATGGCATCCAGCAGCAGCTGCTCCTCGCGGCTGGTCCAGCCGCCCTCGGCCTCGGGCCCCCACGGCGTGAAGCGCCCGCCGTCCACCAGCTGGTAGCCGTGGTAGCGGCGGTGGTGGCCGATCTCGGCGCCGGCCGAGAAGCACTCGGGGCACAGCTCGATGTCCTGGCACTCGGTGCAGCGGAAGCGCAGCGGGCTCACCTCGGCCAGGCAGTACACGCAGTACTTCTTACCGAGCTCCGCCATCTTCCCCCGCCCGCCGCCCGCCGCCGCCGCCGCCGCCGCCGCGCCCGCCGCCTGGGCGCCAACCGGGCCGCCGCCGCGCCGCCGCCGCCGCCGCGCTCCAGCAACGGCCGCCCGCCGCCGCCGCGCCGCCCCGCCCAGGCGCCGCCGGAGCCCCAGCCGGGCCGCGTCCCGCCTCAGCGCGCAGGCGCCCTCGGGCCCGGCACGGCCGCCGCCGCCGCCGCCGTCGCCGCGCGCCGCATCGCGCAGGCGCGCCGCGCGCGCCACCGCGCGGGGACTCGGCCCGCCGCTCTGCGCCTGCGCGCCCCTCGCGCCGGCCGCCGGCCACGCCCAGCGCCACGCCCCGGCCCGGGCGCTGGGAAGCGGGCGGAAAGAGAGCCTGGGGGCCGCGCCACGCCCTCCTCGGCGCGAGCCTACGCCCTCTCCCAATCAACGCCGCCGGTCGCCCGACAGCAGCCTCCCATTGGCTTTCGTCTGCTGGAAGGCGGGGAGAAGGGGCGGGGCGTCGGTCAGACGCCTGGCCAATCGCCGGGCCCACCGCGAGCGCCCTGGTTGCCCCTGGAAACCTAACAGCCGGCAGCTAGGCTCACCGCGCCGGCGAGTCGGGGAGAGATGGAAAGCCACTCGGAGCTCAGTGGGGACTCGGGGCAGGAGCACGACGATGTGGCCAGCATGGCCTCGCGGCCGTCCGGGGTCAAGATCCCCTCCGGCCCCCAGTCCCCAGCCGAGTCCGCGGAGCCGGCAGACGTAGAGACTAAGGAGAGAGGCTCTACCTTGGCCGAGCCCGCCGAGCCCCCGGAGCCGGCCGAGGCGGACGAGCCCGCCGAGCCCGCCGAGCCCGCCGAGCCCGAGCCCAGGGAAGGGCCGTCGGCCACCGAAGCTGAGGGCGAGGAGGTGCCCGAGGAGCGGGAGGCGCCGGCCGAGGCCGAGGAGGTGCCCGGAGCGCGGGAGGCGCCGGCCGAGGAGCCCGCCGCGCCGGTGTCCGAGGGCGGGCCCGAGGGAGCCGAGGAGGAGAGGGCAGAGGCGCCCGCGGAGGAGGAGGAGAGCCCGGCGGAGGAGAAGAAGAAAGCCTCGTCGGTGATCAGCCTGGCGGAGGCCTCGCCCGTCCCGGAGGCCGAGCGCGAGGGGTCGGAGGAGGAGGCCGAGAGCGAGGGGAGCGCGAGGAAGAGCTTGTTGGAAGGCGGCGAGAAGGAGCCGGACGAGGACGTGAGGGATGAGGACGTGGAGTGGACCGAGGAGGTGCAGCGGCAGCAGGAGCAGCAGCTGCGCTCCGAGCTGCTGGAGCAGTACCGCACCCTGACGGTGGAGCGCAGCCACTACCAGCGCTACAACATGTTCCTGCAGCAAAAGATCTACGAGGCGCTGCGCAAGAAGAAGGGCCTGGACGCCGCCGAGGTGGTGCCCGAGAAGGGCGCCGAGCCCGAGGCCCCCGAGAAGGAGGAAGCCTACCTGCGCCACCTGGCGCTGCTGGAGGAGCTCAGGAAGCAGGAGGCCGACGACCTGGACTGGTACCACCAGGAGCTGGACCAGCTGAAGCAGCAGTGCAAGGAGAAGGTCTCCAGGGTGGAGAGGGAGTGGCGGAGGTTCCAGGCGCTCAAGAAGCAGGTGGTGCTGCAGGCCATGGGCAGCTGCCGGCTGCGGGGCGGGCGGCAGGCCGCTCTGCTGGAGGTGGAGCAGATCCAGGCGCTGGAGGACAAGAAGGAGAAGGAGATGAGCGCCGTGAGGCTGGAGAACGTGCAGCTGAAGCAGAGCCTCGTGCACTTTGAGACCAGGATGCGGGCCCAGGAGGACACGACCGAGGGCCTGCTCCTCATCGACTTCGAGCAGCTCAAGATTGAGAACCAGACGTTCAACGAGAAACTGGAGGAGCGGAACGAGGAGCTTCTGAAACTGCACGGCAAGGTGAACAACAACGTGCAGATCATCACCCACGTGAAGGAGAAGCTGCACTTCATGGACATTGAGAACGCGGGCAAAAAGGCCCAGCTTCTGGAGGTGGAGGCCCAGGTGGCCCTCCGGAGGGACATCCTGACCAAGACGAAGCAAGCCCGGGACAGCCTGCGCATGGACAACATCAAGCTGAACCAGAAGTGCGGGCTCCTGGGCAAGGAGTCGCTCCTCCGGGACATGGAGGACAAGGTGGTCAGGACGGAGGAGCTCAAGGAGCACCTGGAGAGCCTGAAGCGCCACCACGAGGGGCTGACCCTGTCCTGCCGGGGCGTGAGGCAGAAGATCCGGGAGTCCAAGGCCTTCCTCCCCTCCTGACCGGCCGGCTGTTAGCTTTTACTCTCCATGCTTCGCCATTCTTTAAAAGGCATGCAATATTTAGGACGGAACTACATTTTTGTATTTATCTAATAATTTTTCAGCTTCCAGATGAGTGCCGAGCACAAAATTGGGTCAGCAGTCGGTTTTATGTGGGGGCAAGTAAAGCAGGCGCAAACACCGCAGGAAGTGCCTCCCTCCTCAGGAAACGCTGTCCAAAGCCTTTACCTCTGAACGATCCATAACGTCAGCGACCTGGTGCTGAGAACTCCCCTCCCATAGGCCGGAGGGTCCCCAATGGGCAGGATGCCCCCAATTCCTGTGCTGATCATTAAACATCCGAATTTATTAAGCTCTGCACTCCCAAGTCTGTTTCAGTTCAAACCTCATTTAACTCCCTTATATTGACCTTGTTTCTGGGTTAATAAAAACACCCAGGAAACATCGGGAAACGGCAAACAGAAAAGGGGCTTGGGTTCACTGTCCCATTGCTCCGTGAAAGGAGACTCAGTCTGCGCACCACTGGAGTTGGATTCCGGCTCAATGGCAGTCTTCAGCTCTTGGGCCTCCCAAGGAAAGCGTTGACCTCCCCCGATAAAGGCAGTCTTGTTTCCCAGCGAAGACAGCGGTGGCTGTGTTTTGCCAGGTGCAGAATGTATGGTGTGGTGAGTGCCAACTGCCCAGGAGGCAGCAGGACCCCACTCTGCACGTGACTTTACTCTGTCTTATGTTAAAGTGCCCATTCCTGGTGTTAACACAGGAAATAGCTGATCGGCCTAGCTCCTTAGTTCAGATTGGTGATTAACATTTTCAGGGGTGGGGGTGATGCTTTTGGACCTAGGGGCTTGGTTTTATTTATTCTTTTTTTTTAAAAAAATACGGTTTTATTGATTTCAGAGAGAGGAAGGAAGGAGAGAGTGATAGAAACATAGATGAGAGAGAAACATCAATGGGCTGCCTCCCGCACGCCCCTCACCGGGATCAAGCCTGTAACACAGCAAGTGCCCCGGCCTGGAACTGAACGTGAACGCTAGACTCATGGGACGACACTCAGCCAACTGAGCCACACGGTTTGGGCCATTTTATTCCTTCGTAATCTTAGGTTACATTTTGAGCTGTGCGGATCTGGGATTAGAAGTATTCCCTTCGCCCTAACTTGAGTGCATCACAGGGTGACCTGTTTTGTGGTGCTAAATACCTTTTAAGATGGCAGGAACCCCACTCCAGGCCGGTGACTCTGCTGGCCGGGGGATGTCGCAATAACTTTGTCTTAAAGTGTTTTTCCTTTGATGGCAATAAAGGTGGATTAAAACTCCTTTTTAATCCCACATCTTGAACACAGTGTTGTAATGTCTACTAATCCTGCCACACAGACATAACCAGAGGGGACGGACGGAAGAGCTCACCTCCTACTCCCCCTCCCCCTCCCCCACCGGCTCTGTTTCCTCTGCCTGTTCACCGAAGCCAGTGCGCAGGAGTAAACGCTGGCAAACAGAATGTTCTTTGAGCCTCGTAGGAAAAGCACCACGGGTGGTTCTGTGGCTGGGAGACTTCCTAGTGCAACCACCACTATCGTGGTGCCTTCACCCAGCAGAGGGCCTTGGTCCGCGCCCATCCCTTTGGCTCACGGGAAGTACGGCTTCCAGCTGATTTTGCCACGTTAGCAATTACCCAGGTAGAACGGGAACACCCTCATCGGCCTTGGCCTCAGCAGCAGGCAGGTCTGAGAGTGGTGGCAGAGAGGGCTGTCTGGGCACCACGCGGGGCCTAAGACATCCGAATGGATGCCCCGAAGCTGCTGGCCTCCATCCCACTGGTCCCAGTCTCCTGAGGATGGGTGGGGAGGCGGGCCCGGGGGGCGCATTCCCAGGACAGGCGTGGACTAACAAGCGAGAGCAGCCTTCGGGGCTCCCTCCTAATCCTCACCCAAGGGTGTTTTCCCATTGATTTTCAGAAGGAGTTTGGCCTGAGGGCCGACACTCAGTAACCAGTTACCGGCCAGGAAGAGCTTTAGGGCCAAGGTTGCCAATGCCCCTCCGCTTCTATCCCGAATGTTACAATGTTACTGTTAATCAGGAGACCAAGCTGTTGGTTACTTCGTAACGTTGTTTCTAAATAGGTTAGAGGAGAGCTTTTAATCACAATGGAGCACTACTCAGCCATAAAAAATGAAATGTTTCCCTTGGCAACAGCCTGCATGGACTGGAGAGCACCAGGCCGAGTGAAATAAGCCAGACAGAAAGACAGGAGCTGTATGACCTCACAAGTGGCATCTAATGAACAAACTGAATAAGCAAAACAGAGACAGACTCAGCAGGCTGACAGCTCTCGGAGGGTGGGGGACAAGGGGTGTGGAAGGATTGAGCCAGAAAGAAAAAAATTAGAAAACCCACTTTTACTGAACAAAAAAAGATGTTGGGTACCCGATTTAACCTTGGTTGCAGGGAAGGAAAAGGATGCTTAGAGATCACAATTCTGTTCCTGTCCTTCAGCTCACTGCTGCTTATGCTTGGGCTTATTTGGATGGAGCTGTTGAGACTGGGCAGAGGCCTCTGCCCCTCCATCCATGGGGGGCCTCCAGGGCTCAGGCATCGGGACGCTGGGCCTTGGCATGGCCACCGGAGCAGCTGCAGGGAGGAACAGGAGCACCAGGAGCGGGGCAGCTCCCCCCTGGGACCTGAGGCCATGCCGAGTTCCCGGTGGTGGGGAGTGGGCCGGGGCCTCACGCTGCCCATCCAAGGCTGCCAGTCCCCCGGAGACCTCCTTCCTGTGGCCCAGCTGGTGACCACCATCTCTAGCTCACAGTGGTGTCGCCTCGCCTCTCCGCCCCTGGTCAGCGTCTTCCATCTCGCCTTCACGGCTGGCAGGCTCCCACACTTCAGGTGCTGGCTTTTGAACTCGCAGCTCCTCCCCCATTTCAATTAGGAAAACATTCCCCAGCCTCCACCGGCACAGCTCCTGCTAGGCCCTGAGGCCCGCACCCTGGGGCAAGTCTGGCCTGCTTCTCCAGAGCCGTGCCTCCCGCACAGGAGGGCCTCTGGGGAGCAAGTGCCTCCAGGCCTCACCCCAAACCTGCAGAGGTCGGAGGTTGGAGAGGAGGTCAGAGGAGGTCGGAGATCCGCTGGAGGAGCGGGCAGCCCAGGCCTGGGGGCAATCGGGCTCTCCTCTCCGGGGAGGGTGTGTCTGCAGAGGGGCTGGGAGCCCCAGACCAGTGGGAACCCACCCTGCCACGCACTGGCCGCAGGAGCCCCAGCAGACCACTTGTCACTCCTTTGGAATGGCACAGGACAGGGCAGCTGTGCAGAATGAATGAGGCCACAGAGCACTTAAACAAGGGTAGACAGCCAGCGATGTGACCACAACTGTGACCCCTGCCCATCGCTCACCACAGCCTGCGGAGAGGAGAAACAGTGGCCAGGGAGCGAAGCAGTTCCCTGGTGGCAGAGGGGGGCTGTCTGGGCACCACGTGGGGCCTAAGACATCCGGAGCTGCTGGTCTTCATCTCCACGGTCCCAGTCTCCTGAGGATGGGTGGGGAGGCGGGCCCGGGGGCGCATCCCCAGACAGGAGTGCAGGCTGAGGGTGATGCGAGGGGCAGACGGGGTGGCAGCACCTGGGACAGTCACGGGGCAAACAAGCGAGAGCAGCCCTCAGGGCTTCCTCCTGGGCCTCATTCTCAGCCTGAGCAGCTGGCTCGACAGGATCCACCACAGGCACCACCCTGTGGCCCCGGGATTATCCCCACTGCCTGATGACCTTGAGGATCGCTCCAGCCACCCCTTAAAGGGGCAGTATTAGTGATGTCCGCTCACAGACGGGAACCGGGCCCACACTAGCCCAGGGCGCCCGCTGATGGGGGAAGGAGGCCTGGACGTCAGCCCTGGCCGACAGGCTCCAAGCAGCTTCTGAGGAAGTGGGACCGGATGGGCGGGCGCGGGCTCAGGAGTGGGGCAGGTGAGTGGCAGACTCGTGGGAAATGCTACAGCTGGGGCAGTCAAGTTTGAGGGGGGCAGCCAGTCCATGGCTCCCCTTCAGCTTGGAAGGGGCGCCCTAAAATCTCGAACCCCTTCACCAAATTACCCCAACTGTACCATCCTTTTGATCCCAGCAATCCTATGAGATGGTATTTAAAATACTGGGACAGTATAATGCTCCGAGTCAAATATTTGCCATACTTTACGGTGAGAACTTCAATTTTAAACCAGACTACAGGGAATGTAAGTAACAATTTTACATGACTTTTATTAAATAAAACCATGTATTTACAATTCAAAAAGGCCTGATTTGATACACTTTACTACATAAGATTAAAGGCTAACTGTACAAGCAATTTAAACAGGGTCCGTAGCAAGTGTTAGCAGACGTTTTCTACCAGCAAACTATTGGAAATAGTCACACTGAGTAGTTAAGAAGGCTCCTCTACAGGGGACCTGTCTCCAGCCGAGTCCTGGGGCCTGTGCCGCTGGCTGCACCCGGGCCAGGCTGGGAGCGGGAGGGGCGGGCTCCGAGGCTGGGCCTCCAGGTTTGTTTCCGGTTTTCTTAATGGACAGTCAAGCGGCGCAGCCCTCTGTGGAAGGGGTTCTGGCGTGGATGAGACTTCCTGGCCTCTGAAGGGGACAGAGCCAGCAGCCAGACCTCATGGGGTCCCTGAGCAGGTCACAAAAACCTCTTCCGAACTAGAGATTTGTAAGTATTCTGATGACATGGAATCTTGGTTAAAAATGTAATGCAGCTCTGGCCGGGGCGCTCAATGGTTAGAGCGTTGGCCTGTGGACTGAAGGGGTTGCAGGTTCAATTCTTGGTCAAGGGCATGTACCTTGGTTCCCCAGCCCTTGTCAGGCGCCTGAGGGGTGGGGGCAGTAAATCAATGTGCCTCATGTGGGTGCTTCTCTCTCTCTCTCTCTCTCTCTCTCTCTCCCTCTCCCTCCCTCCTTTCTCCCTTCCACTCTTTCTAGGCATCAATGGAAAAAATATCCTCAGGTGAGGATTAAAACAACCCAAAAACCTAATGCAAAATACTATCCAAAGAGGTGTCAAGCCGACAAAACCCGTTCGGGGCTGGGCCTGAACGCACAGATGCTCTCTGAGGCCCACTTCCTGTCACAGCTGAAGGAGCACCCTATGGGGTTAAAGGTGCAGGTCTCGGGAACAGGAAGCGCGCCATAGAAGGAGCAGCCAACCTGTGCGTGCGGCTCAGCGGCTCCATTCGGCCTCGGGTGTCGGCCCCGCTGCCCTGTCTGGAGGGGCAGAGCCCCAGACCACAGGGCAGACCTCCTCCCGGAGGTCAGTGAGTCAGCAGTAAAGGCGAGGCAGAAAGCGGCTCCCACGCTGCTCAGCAGCCGCCCCGGGGAGTGCCCGGAAGACGGGGAACAAGGACCGTTCCGGGGAAAGGCCGCAGAGCGGGGCCAGGACGGGGCATGAGGGCGGCCCGGCTTGCAGCCGCTATTGCACTGCAAGTGTCAGCGTGGACATGGCAGGCGTAGAAAGCCTAACAAGATGCGCAGCCAGCTTTCCCCGCCCAGGCCTCCTAGGTACACACCGGCCACTGAGGGCACTCCCATCAGACACAGGACCGGCGGGGTGCTCCTGGCTGGGCAGTCCAGCCGAGAAGGGCCGGAGCCAGCCCCAGTGCGCACCGCACGCTACTGGTGTCGTCCACACGCCCAGAGGTCAACACGCCAATGGATTACCCCTGGGAGCCTGTTTCCATAGAGAGGTGCCGGTCCTTTGGACTACTCTGTGCAAAAATTAGTCATTTATTTGAAGTTGGATAACCAAAGTCCTTAATACAAAGTTCTCAAAATTCATCAAGGAGAATCTTGAACAGAAAAGGTGCTCGTGAACTTGGGGAAACCAGCTAGAACGGAAAGGCTGACAGAAAGGACATGAAAATGTGACAGGACTTGGGGCCACTGAGTATGGTGGTCCGCTTCCTGGTCCTCATGAGAGTCCACCTTTAGGCCAAATGTGTGAGAGGAGACAGGCACTCAGGGCTGACGCTGCTGTCGGGTGACAAAGGACAGAGCAAGGGAGCAGGGCCCCACACACACTCATACACACACACACACACACACACACTCACACACACACACACTCATACTCACACACACACATTCTCACACACACTCAACACACACTCACATACACACACAGACACACTCACACACACACTCACAGACACAGACACACTCACACACACACTCTCTCATACACACACACATTCTCACACACACTCACACACACAGACACACACACACACACACACTCACACATTCTCATACACACACACTCACACACACTGTGCTGTCCGCACCTGCACACCAATGAGCAGGGCAGTTTGACACCTTGACTGAAGGGAGCCTGTGTCCCTCCTGTCTCCATGAGCTTCAGGGTTGCCTGCTGCCTGGGGCCTCGGGGTGCAGAGCTCCTCCTGCCACTGCCCTCCACTGCTCTCCACTGCCTACAGGCCGGGCGGCCTCCGGGCGCACAGGGCTCCCGTGGGCCTACGCAAGCACGTCAGCCCTCGCTCGCGCTGTCACTGTCAAGGCAACATGGTAAGACGTCACCCCGAGGGCCGGTGAGTCCGGGGCGTCCACGAGAGCTCGGGCCTTCACGCATCTTTGGTAGGTGGGCTTCCCACACTGGGCCTGTGTGCGGAGCGGGGACCTCAGTAACTCAATCAGCCACCCCTTTCTTATCACAAGAGGTGACCATGGCCGGGAACACCTGAGGTCTCCCAACACCTCCATGCACCTCGGCTGAGAAAGACTACGCCCTGGCGGAGTGACAGAGAAGCAGCGCAATTTAATCACGTTTGCTGGGACGGGAGAGCCAGGCCCTGTTTTAAACCATGCACTGTGCAGTGGTTGCCATGTCAGTACTAGTCACCATTCCACTGAGCTTCTTAAGGCTAAGCCTTGGTTAATCCTCCAAGAGTCTGGTTTGTTTTAAGGCCAACTGCAGTACCAGGGGCAAACAGGAACAGGCCCTGTTCTCGGGGCCAGAGTGTCCGCCCTCACAGCACGTGCGCTGGCAGCTCGCTCCGGCGCCGCGGTCCACCTCGCCTCAGTGCCTGAGCGACGGGCTTCCTTTCTCCGTCTCCCGGCTGTCCCTCTGCAACGCCGTCAGCACCTGCAACCAAGGCAGACACTGACCACAGACCCGCTGCCGGCGACCGCCTCCCGCTGCTCCACACTGCCCCCGCACCTCTCCGCCGCGGAGGCCCGCCTGCCATCTCTGCACCAGGCCCTCCCACCGGCCCACCGGCCACAGGCAGGGCTGCAGTGCTCCTCCCGGCCTCCCCGGCCCTGTGCTCCCACCACAAAGCCTGCTTCCCGCTCCTTCCTGACTTCCCAGGGGCGGGGCTCCGTCCTCTCTGCTCTCAGCTTAGTTAACACCTTTACTTTGTAAATATCAGTCCCGCTGTGATTGCTTAGTGACGGCGGGACAATGACAACAGCTACAGCTCCTGAGCCCTCTGTGCCGAGCAGAGCCCTCACGCACAGGCTCGCTCAGAAAGGGACGCCCATCGTATGGCATCTGACAACGGCGCCACACGGCTCATGGGCTCACACCCACCCCTGTCTGACTTGTAAACCCAGGGATCGGGAGCGCCTGTGCTGACCCAGCGGAGGCCAGGCACCTGCCGTTTTACTGACAGCCACAGGGAAGCAGGATCACTGAGTCCCCAAAGGTGGCCCAGAGGACTGATGGCAGACACAAGCCCCCACCGTGAGCAAACAGCACGGCCCCCAAACATAAGCATGCACTTGCTGGTAAAGCTCACCAGTCTTCCCTCGGCATAGCCTGCAGGACCTGCTCGGACCACAGTCCCTCCGGGCCGCTGTATGGAACCCCATGTGCCCCACCCCCCCCCCCCCAGCAACTAACCTATCACTAGCTCACCATGGGGTCTGACCTCGTTTTAACCAGTAATTTTTACTTAGACCCTAAAGTATAAGAAGCAAAACGTTAGATCTGGTTTAATCCTTCCCTCTTTGTATGTGTGTGATTGTGTGCGCGCTGTGTGTATGTATGGGGTATGTGTATGTCTGGGTGTGTGTATGGGGGATTGTGTGTGTATGGAGGGGTATATAGGTGTTTGTGGGGTTGTGTGTATATGGGTGTGTAGGGGTTGTATATATATGTGGAAGGTTGTGTGTGGGTATGGGTGTGTGGGCGCTGTGTGTATGTATGGGGTATGTGTATGTGTGTGTGCGTGATTCGCTGTGTGTGTGTGTATGGTTGTATGTGGGGTTGTATGTATGGGTGTGTGGAGGCTGTATGTATGAGGTGTGTGTGTGGTTGTATGTGTGGGTTTGTGTGTGTGTGTATGGGTGTGTGTGTATGGGTGTTTGTGGGGTTATGTGAGTGTGTGTGTGTGGTTCTTTGTGTGTATGGGTGTGTGTGGCATTGTGTAAATGTATGGGGTGTGTGTATGGGTGTGTAGGGATTGTGTGTGTGTGTGTGTGTGTGTGGTTCTTTGTGTGTGTGTATGGGTGTGTGGAGGCTGTGTGCATCTATGGGGTGTATGTATAGTTGTATGTGTGGGTTTGTGTGTGTGTATGGGTGTGTGTGGGGTTATGTGTATGGGTGTGTAGGGATTGTGTGTGTGTATGGGTGTGTGGAGGCTGTGTGCATCTATGGGGTGTGTGTATGGTTGTATGTGTGGGTGTGTGTGTGTATGGGTGTGTGTGGGGTTATGTGTATGGGTGTGTGTGGGGTTATGTGTATGGGTGTGTAGGGATTGTGTGTGTGTGTATGGGTGTGTGTGGGGTTGTGTGTATGGGTGTGTAGGGATTGTGTGTGTGTGTATGGGTGTGTGGAGGCTGTGTGCATCTATGGGGTGTGTGTATGGTTGTATGTGTGGGTGTGTGTATGGGTGTGTGAGGATTGTGTGTGTGTAAGGGGATGGGCTCTGGGTGATGGATGGGTGCCACAGGGAAGCCCCTGGGACTTGGAAGGAAGATCAGCAGCCGTGCCTGCACGTGTGGGAAAGGGAAGTAGCAACATAACCAGGGAAGCGGGAGCAGGACCTCCTCCAGGGAACAGCCTCGGGAGGAGGGGCAGGGAGTGCTAGTTCCCTTGGCTTCTGCCACAGGCATTTTTAAAGGGGTGGGGGGCGGGGGTTACAAATGCCGTCTACCATGCAGGGAGCACCATGATGACTAACCAGCACTGGCCTCCCAGGGCCTGCAGAAAGGGTGGAGGCTGGGGGGCCACCTGACAGGCCCCTGGCAGAGCCGGGCCTCAGAGCCGGTCTCCGGCGCAGGGCCCACCACGAGAGGGCTGCTTCCTCAGGCGACTCTGCTCATGGGGCTCAAGGAGGAAAGGACCAGAAGGCCCGCTTACCTGAGCCCACTTCTTGCTGCGACTTTGCATCTGAACTGCAGCTATGGAGGCAAACACCTCGTCCGCGGGCAGGTCCTCGGGCAGCCTGGTGAGGAACTGGGCGACGTGGATGAAGTCCATCCGGGTCAGGATGTCCTCGAACAGCCGCAGGATGCCCAGGGCCGTGCGGAACAGGAACTCCTCCCCGTCGCGGCAGAACACGTCCCAGATGCGGCAGGCCAGGTCGAGGGGCAGAGACTTACTGTACAAGGTAAAGATCCTGCAGAGGGGCCAGCGCTTCAGGGGGCCTGAGCTCCAGCCAGGCTCCCCAGTCTGACTGCTCCTTAGATACAAACGCGGGGCGGGGGGTGCAGGGGCACGAGGCCTGGGCTTATTCCGAGCGCCAGTGGGAAACAGCATTGCACACGGGATCTCAAACACAGCACAATTCCTCATCACGGCTACTGTCACCTCCACATGCAACCAATATGTATTACCCAGCACTACGGTGAGCCACGCCGCTGGCAGGCGCAGGGAAGGTCACTGAGGCAGACAGAGTCTGGTGTGGGGATGAGAACAGCTCCCAGACACGCACCAGCCCCCGTCCACGCGGACGGGAAGAGGACTGGCTGCTTTCCTCCCAGCAGGGGTCAGCAAAGGAACAAAGGAACTTTTTCCAAAGAAATTTGACTGCAGATTACAAATCCTCATCTTAACGATGCAAACCCCCAGGCGAAGAGATGAAATACGAGGATGCCTTTCCTTACAGAACCGTGAGCACCACGCCTGGCAGGGGCGGCTCGGCGGGCCGGGCGTCAGCCGCGCACCGACGGCGCTGAGGGCCCGGCGGCCCTTTTCCCGGTCTATCTGGGGAGCGCTCTCACGGCCACCGGGAGCACGTGCTTGTTTTTTGAAAATGAAATGAACTGACCCAATCCACAGTCCTACTTCTTCCTCCCCGCCCTCTCACGGAGGTCAAGCCCTCACGTCTTAAAAGCAGCCTGGAGTGAAAAGTGATCAGAACACAGAGCAGCGGTAGAGGAGGGAGAGAGTGACAGCAGAAGAAATCTCTTCAACAGCACATTCCTGAGTTCAGATGCATGTGGCCTCCACTGACAACTTGGACGTTCTGAACTTTACAGAATAAAGCCAACATGCAAACGATCAAGAAAGCTGTGGGCAGCCTGCGCCCTGCTTGGGCCTCACCCAGGTGGTACCGCTGTCAGCGAGCTAACGCCGAGCTCTGAGCCTCCCGGAGGCGGCCACCGGCGCCAGGCACTGTGCGTTGGCGGTGAGGGTGCAGGGCAGCACGGAGCACACACAGTTCCCGCCCCGCTGGAGGGGGTGTGGGTTTAACTGCAAGCAGGGGCAGGCAGGGACGGCCAGTCCGATGTATGTGTGTGAGAGCGTGCACACACACCTGCTCACAGGATGGTCAGGGAAGAACGCGTCGCTGACAAGTGACATTTGTATAAAGCCCTGGAGAGGAAGCCAGGAGCCAAGAGAAGGGTCTGGAAAGCATCCAGGTTCCCGAGCTCTGAGGCAGGAGCAGACCTAGCAAATCCCAGGAAGAGCCAGGAACCGCAGGGAGAAGCCGGAGCAGAAGGGGAGAGCACACGGAGAAGCTGAGACAGGACTCTCCAGGACGGGGAACCAGCAGAGGGCTTCCAGAGGAGGCCACCGTGGTGCGGGGAGGCCAGGACAGGCCCTGCAGGGGCTTTCCCACGGAAAATGCAGCCAGACCCAGGGCCTGAGCCTCCACGTCTCCTCTGTGAAGCAAGCCAGGCCTCAGGGCTCTGATCTCAGCTGGTGGCACTGTGAGCCGCTCAGCGCTGGCCCGGGGAGCAGGCGTCAGTACTTGGCCATCTCTTGCATTCCCGCAAAACACTCGGGCACAGTCCTCACTCCCCACTCCCCGCCCACTTTGCAGCCTCAGCTCAAACCCAGGTCTTTGTCCTTCATCAGCCTCCGCCTCCAGGCCTCCCCACCTCCCACATAACCTAACGCCCCTGCTGGAGGTGGCCCGCCTTCGTCTTCGCCCAATCAGAAGCCTTCCACATGCCCTTGGCCCCTGCAATGCTGCCCAAGCGCCTCTGCATGGCTCCCACACACTGGGAGCTGGCTTCCGACCTCTCACCTCTCAGGGTGCCCAGGGCCGTGGATATGCGTGTACAGGATCTCCATGTATTGCATAGATAGGCCCCAGCGTCACCAGGCACCTGCTGGAGCCCTGCTGGCTCTGGACCACCAGGCTCCTACCAGGCCTCGGCTGGGGCTCATGTTGGCTGCCCCGTGCACTCTGACCCTGAAGCCTGGGTCCAGACCGCTGTCCTCCCCGCTCCAGAGACACACTTCGTGTGCAGCACAGCCCCTCACGGGCATGTCTCCCTCTAGGCAAGGCTCTGACAGGCACCGCCTGCCCGGCTCACCACCGCTGTCCAGGTCCCAGCACCTGGCGCAGCAGACCTGGCGCTCAGTGGCGTCGCGCTTAATGATGGGTAAATGGCGCTTTGAAAGCAAACAGGTCCCAGACACCACTTTTCTCTGCAGGAGCTCAGAGGGACCAGGCAGGGTCACAGACAGAAACAAGAGCGAGCGATGGAGCCGGTGGATGCCTGGGCTGGAGCTGGGGACCAGGCAGTGGCGTGGGCAGCCGAGCCTGAGGGAGTGCCCGTGAGGACAGTGGAGCATGGGGTGGGAGGGGTGAACACGAAAATGCACACTCACCAATCAATTAGGTAGATGTCTGGAGTTAAGCTGTTTTTCTTGAAATGAGTAAATAATTTCGGCAAGTTTTCTTCAAAGAATACCTCAAATGCAGCAAAATAAGTCAACATCTGGGGAGACAATGTGAAATGCACCAGTAAACTGGTTATCAGCACACGTTCCCAACCTGCAAAACAAGCCATCGTGCTTCCACCATTAGAACCCAACCTCGGGTGAACTGCCAGGGACAGGGCCTGGCGGGTGAAGGCGCAGAGCACACAGGCCATCCTAGCAGCGCGTCCTGTCCCACCGCGCCTGCCCTACCGCCACGGGCACTGCTGCGACCCCTGCGTCCGGCAAGTCTACCCGCCGGGCGCCGATGCTGGGAGTGACTCTCAGCACTGACGCAGCCTCTAACGAAGGCGTGCCCGCTGTCTCCGACACAGCACCCTGCACAGCCGCCGGCAGAGCAGTGTGCCCTGCAGGCCCGGGAGAGCAGAAAGCCCATCCTGCCCGGCAGAGATGCCGCTAGCCGTGGTGTCGGGAACGGAACCGAGATCTGAGTTCGCCTGTGAGCCCTCTGCGCATCTTCACGTAACACCACGAGCTACACCCTACCCCTCCTCCCGTGTGCAGAGAAATGGCGCGTGAGTGTGTGGCCAGGACCGACCCGTGTCTGTCCCTCTGCCAGGGCGGAGCCTGTAGGGCTCACTCCTCCAGACCGGGAGGGACTCCGTGGCTGAGTGATCTGACACAGGCGTGCGGTGCTCCCAGCCCTCAGCGTCGCCAGGGAAGGCGACAGATCCCAGGCCCGGCAGCACCGCTCCGGCTCCGGCAAGCAGTGAGGGAGGAGACCCTCGGGGAGGAGCAGCGGGCACAGCCTGCCCTGCACCAGCACCGGCTCTCGGCTGCCTGCAGGCCCTGTGGGACGCAGTGCGCAGGGAGCCGCGTGGGAGTGGCACCAGCGGAGAGGCGGGCAGGCTGCTCCGTGTGCCACAGGAGGCCTGTGGGCAGGTGGCTTTCGGATGCTGCCTGCTCGCCTTCATGAGTGAGTGTACTGTAAACCAGAGTCCCCCACGGGGTCCTCTCCTCCCGGACACCCGGCTCTGCTGGAGAACACTTCTGGTTGTTAGAGCCAGGCGGAGGTGCTGCTGGCACTTGGCGGCCAGAGGCCAGAGATGCCGTTCCATGCCCAGGACAGCCCACCGCCGCGCCCAGCCCCAAGGTCACAGCTGCTACTGGGAGGTCCTGCTGCAAATGAGGGTCCGGCCAGCATCACGCTTCTCTGTTCTCCCTTAGTCATAGGCTAAAATTCTTCCGCAGTTTTTATCAGATGTTGCCAAAGAGAAAACTGGGGTCTTATCTTCAAAATTAGGAGCTATTGCAATGTAATCATTTTACTGTACAGAAGCTCTTCCCCACGGAAAGCGGACCTCAGTGCTGCGGGGGGAAGCCTCGGAGCAGAAACCACCAGGATCCCACATCTCTGTGAACGGTGGTCCCTCACATCCGTGTGCACACACGGGAGCCGCCAGGCAGAGGCTCCACTCGATGTGCTTTTGGAAAAGTAACCCTTCATCCTAAACACTGCTTGAGAGCACGACTCTGGGCAAACACTGCTACCGCACTGGATCTCTCACCGGGTTGTAGTGAACCTCACTGTATCCCCAAACCCCATTTTTAAAGACCTCCAACTTCCACACCGAAATGTAATTTTAAGTTATTATTAAATACTAATAAATACTGTGTGACAATCATCTCTGGGCTTAATGCTTGGTCCCCGATGGACTTCCTTAGATTCTTACAAGCAGAATTACACGCCAACACCATTTATCGCTACTGATACTTAATACCAAGTTTCTTCCAGAGGAGTTCTGCCAATTTATGCCGCCCCTAACAGCCACCCACGTAGCAACAGTTTTTAAATACTTTTTCTTTATTTAAAATAAAGACCAGCTGCCCGGTCTTGGACAGGAACTTCTCAGGAGGCTGTACGATTAAGAGGGACTACGGCTGGCTGACCTAACCTCCCAGGTCAGTGTCTGGCAGCACTGGTGGTAACTACCAGCCCGTCAGTGCCACACTAACATAACACACTAACACCCTGTCAGGCGGGTGCCATCCCCTCCCCATCAGGCCACGCAGAGGACCCGGAGCCTCGGAGGCCCCGCAGCCGTCTGTGTGCATACTGCGTGGCACGGATTCAGCTCAGTCCATGACCTGCACTGCCAGCCGCGCCTGAGCCCCTGACGCACTGCTGCCTCCGTCCACACAGGAGCGCCTTACACGCCCTCCTGTCTGTGAGCCTTGGAGCGCGCGACGTCACGGAGCAGCAAGAGGGCTCAGCTCGGCCACGTGCAGGCGCAGATCCCACGAGGAGACCGCCACAAAGTGGGCATGTCTGTGCAGAGGCTGCCCCTCCCGGTGCAGAGAATGTATTTTCAGAAACGCTTTCTGAAAAGCTGTCTTGAGAGTCATACCTATGGCTGTTAGCATGTGTTTTTAAAATCAATACAACACCCCAAGTACCTCCCACTCTACAGAGCTTTCTCCGACTCCTTCTCGTGGGGGGGGGGGGTTCTTTTCCACTGAAAAGAGGGCTGACTGAGCGGTGCTTGCTGGGCACACGGAGGATACTCACAAGGCCATGGTCCACTCGGAAAAACGCCATTTGACAAGGTTTATTCAAAAGATTGGAAAACGCGATGAAGGCATCTGCAGTGTCCAAGTTCAGGATCAGCACTGCGGCTATGAAGGACATGCCCTGCACCTGCGGGGAGGAGGGGATTAAACGCCAAGGCCTGCACAGAGACGGCTCTCCCCCTCCCACGGCCTCCCCCAGAGCTGAGTGACAGCCTCCATCCCATCGGATCTCTCTCACCAGGAAGCCTGCGCGGCCACATCAGCCACCTGTCTGCTCCCACCCTGCCCCCACGGCCGGGGGAACACCACCTGGGACACCCCAGACTCAGCCGCCTTGTGCGGAGAGATGTGCGTCTATCATCACGTGCTACACCTGGCACCATGCACCGGCCTCGGCGAAGCCGCACACACTGCAGCACAGTAAAATGGTTACTGCTAAGGCTTGTCTTCACTTAGTGCTGAGAAAGCTGCATGCGGAAAACGAAACTCAAACCCAATTTCAATGTGACGCAGCCACAGGGCAGCCGTGTCTGCGGTTCCTTTAGGACACATGTGTCAAACACAAGGCCCGCGGGCCAAATCCGTCCCGCCAGGCCTTGCAATGTGGCCCGCACCGCGCTGTCATCACTGCACTCCGCTGCGTTTCCATCACAATGACAGTTTATGACTGTTCAGTAAACCATTCGGCCCGCGATTTAGGCTGGATTTTAGATTTTGGCCCCTTCTCTGATTGAGTGCGACACCCCTACTTTAGGAGAAGCAGGCAGCTCGCTGCCGTGAGACTTTCCATGCCCAGCAGAAGTGAGGGCCTTCGGCTCGCCCTCTGCAGCTAAGATGTCCCGCACTACTGGCATTATTCTGACTTTCTTTTTAAAATGTGAGACGCGATAAAATATTGAAAGTTCACTTACATAGCCCACATCCGGTCGGTAACAAGTATAAGCGCCCAAAACGCTGTGCAGCATGTCATGATACGGGCCGCCCTGGAAGGATCAACATACCAAGGACACATGCGGTCTGTTAGTGCCCCGGACAGCCTCGGCGCCTCGCCCCCGGCGCAGAGGGAGCCGTGGCCACGCCCAGGCCAGCAGCTCTGCGGGAATCACGGAGCTTCACAAATGAGCTACCAAACCTGTTAGAAGCGAACCTGCAGCCAATTCGTCTACCAAGCTGCTCGGAGAAAGCTGGTGGGTCAGGCCTGAGCACCGCGCCAGAAAAAGACCCCTCCCTTGGCTCCTGCTGTATACTCAGCCCCTTCTGAGTTCCAGAGAACCAGGCGCCAGGGGTCAGCCAGGCAGGGCGGTGACTGCTGTCCCGCCGGCTGCAGCCGTGCCGTGCATCCTGCCCCCTCCCCGCCCATCACGGCCTCCGTTTCTTCCACGCTTCCTGATCCGCGCTGCGGCCTGTGGGACTCTTCATCCTAAGTCCTAACAGCCTCCATTCTAACCCAAACACCCCCCAGCTCTCCATGCATTCCTGGGACTCCTCGGCATCAGGCGTGCGGCTTTTCTCCTCCTCTGCACCGCCAGCGTGCCTGGGCCACCGCATGTCTGCAAGCCGGGGGTCACAGGTTCACGTCTCTGCAGCATTCCAGGTGGCGGTCCCTGACTGACTCGTTCTAACTGAAACCTGCCTGGCGTCCTGGCGCTGTGAGTCTGTGTAGAAGCATGGGCCTGAGAGAGTCAGATTGCGGGCAGGGCTAGTCTGGAGGTCGTGAGGGGACTGGCCGGAGGTGGAGGGGCGGGGGATGCCTGTATTGACATGAGACCCACCCTCCCCCTGCTATCCCTCTCTGGCGGCCCCTCCACCCAAAACCCACGTACTTCTCAACTTGATTACAATGTGCAGATGGCATCTGTGAATTTCAGACAACTATGCTTGAAAGCAACAAATCACCACTACCTACCTGCTGGAAAATGCAGAGGTTAGGGAATGTTCTAGAAATGTCCAGTTTGATCAGCTCCAGGCTGGCTTCTCTGTCGGCCGCTGAGAACCCGGCATCTACCGAAAGACCCAGAGTCACGACCCCTCTTGGGGGCAGCGTGCGGGGCCTCGGGCTCTGAGGCTTACAGGAGGGACAGGGGAACATGCTTCAGGCGTCCCGAGGCCTGGCCACAGCCCGGCTGCCCGGGTGGAGCAAACACCAACAGCACCGGCTAACGCCAGACGCCACGGTGTCTTCCGGAGTCTGGGATGAGCCTCATGTGACACCGCCTTCCGTCAGCAACCCGGGGAGAGACAAGAACAAACCCACCAGGCGCAGAGGGCACTGGGAATCGCGGTCTGACCTAGCACGGCCTGCACAGCGCAGGAGCCACGGGCGTGGCCGTGGCCGTGGCGACACTCGTGTGCCATTTCTAACTGATGTTCCTTTTATTTTATTTTAGTAGCACCTAAATAGTATAAAAGGTCAGTAAGATACCCCAGAATGACAGGAGCGTCACTCTGTGTGGGGAGATGCTAAGTGTGACCAGCGAGCACGCAGCTCCGTCTTCAAGCAGCTCCCACGCTGCCCGGGTCCGGGCTCTGCCGCCTCGGGAGTGGGAGCGAGGGCAGCCGGGTTACCGCTGCGTGTCAGACACAAACTCCTCTCTGGACGGACCGCTTTCTTTCTAATGAGAACTTCCTCTGCACCTTGTTCGCGCTGAAAAACCCCTTTTCCAGCCCCGGCCTCTGGCTCCGGCGGTTGGGGCATTATTCACACACCAAAAAGTTTCGGGTTCAATCCCCGTCGGGGCGTGTATGGGAAGTAACCAATCTCTCTCTCTCTCTCTCTCTCTCTCTCTCTCTCTCTCTCTCTCTCTCTCTCTCAAAATCAAGGAAACCGTGAGGATTTAAACACAACTCCGCCCTTTTCCAGGCAGCTGTTGGTAAGTCCGTACTACACCCCCTCAGAGAAGCGACCTCCCTATCGGGCGGAGCAGTGCCCGCTGACCAGCCGCCACCTGCCTGGCCCCACGTACCTTCACTGTCTGCGTCGGGGCCGCCCGCGCTGAAGCACCGCCACCTCTCCTTGGCTCGGGCGAGGCAGATGTGGAAGAGCTCTGCGAGAGAGGCCTCGGGTGAGCGTGGGCACACACGCACAGCTCCTCAGAACGCCAGGGACACACCACGGCCTCAAGGTCAACTACACTCTGAAGTCTTCTACTGTTAAAGGCACCGGCCACCACGTACACAGACAGACCACTGAGGCACGGCTGTCTGGTTTGCGGGTCCGTCACTTGTACCACCTGTGAGCTCTTGGGCGTAAGACGGTCCATGTGGCAGGTACGGATTAGCCAAAGAAGGAGCTTTGAGGAGGTCACCTCCAACCGACGCCAGTGACACACACACACACACACACACACACACACCCGCTGGCGTTACTCAGGCTGCAACTCGGGCGGATGACGCCTCCCAAGGGAAGAACACTGTCACAGGACCCCGGTGCACAGAGCAGACACAAACCAATCCACCCTAAACTCAAAGGCGAGCCCGGTCTCCCCTCTGCTCTGATGCCACTAGCGCCTCAAGCACCCCGTGGGGTGCAGCATGTTGTCTCTCTAGAGGTGCTTACACATCAGCTGCCGGGGGGAAATGCCACCAAACCAGCAGTACCCAGAGGCACCCGCACCACGCAGGGCGAAACCACGTGTCCCGCCGCACGCTGTGAGCAGGCCGGCCTCAGAGGTGCTGGAGCCTCCTGGAGGACAGTCACTGGCCTCTCCCGGCCCCGGCAATGGCGTCCTTTCTCCTGACAGCAGGGCAGAGGGACAGGAGGAGCCACAGGACCTGCGGGGGGGCCTGCAAGTGCGGGCACTCACCGTGGGTGATGTTTAACTCGTTGCCAATGGCTAAGCTCCAGACTTTGCCCCGCACGCTGGGAGGGATCCCCTGCCACCACAGGTCCCGGACCTTTCGAGAGCACCACCTGCACAGAGAGGAAGACCAGTTTATGTGAAGAAACATCTGCCCCGTGTGCCTCCCCCAAACCACAGGACAGGGCACACACAGGTAGTCACAGCCCTGCCTCAGGGGCTCAGGTCCGGTGACCACAGAGGCCAGTGCGGCTCTCCGCTGGGCAATGCCGAGCCGGTACGCCCAGGGCACTGCACGCGGGGAGCAGCAGCACCAACCAGAGGGCTCGGCACTCTCCTGAGCTGAATGTGCAGGGACGGCTAATAGCTGGGCGGGAGGCGGGGAGGGAGGAGGGCCGGTGGGGGGGAGGGGGCAGGACTGCTGCGGAGCTGCAGGTGCAGGGAGGTGGCACACGGGGCAGCTGCCAAGCTCCAATGGCAGAGCACTCCGCTAACTCAGCAGCTCTCACTGCTCAGCACCGCAGCAGGGCTAGTCTGGAGGCTGTGGGACAAGTGCAGACTGCCCTGGTGCTCCTCAACGCAGCCCCCCCCCACCCCCTCTGGAGAGCACGGGCCACGGCTGCAGGACAGGTCTGCACCCCAATCCCACGCTTCCCTGTGCAACCCCGAGCCAATGCCTTCCCTCCAGCACCGCAGGAGGAAAGCCCGGGAAGGGCTGCCGAGGAGATTAGCGGACAATGCACAGTGACACCGGCCATGCCTGGCCCCTGGCGGCTGCGTCCCAGGCAGTGCCGAGTGCGGGCCTCTGGACCACATCACACACCGTCAGTGAGGGGTGGACCAGGGAGGGCCCTCGGCCACCGAGGGAGACAGCTCCAGGGTCCCATTTGATAAAAAAGTGTTTCCTGACTGCCCAGCCTCGTAAAGGGCCCCGGGAAAAGCAGGCTCTGGGAAAGCTTGTTTTCCTAGGGGACATCTGCACTGCCGTCTGGCCCTAATGAGACAGTGACTCTCGGGAGGGAGTCCCCCCCATCCCGACACAGGGCGCAGGCTGAAAGCGACAGGAGAAGAGGAACTGGAACCCACGCTTCCTGCAGCGCCCAGTGATGGGGGGTGGCCCTCCCCACCCTGCACCACAGAGGAAATGCCCGCAGCTGCCCCACAGACTGAAGATGACAGCTGCCAGGCTGCCACGGGGCTGTCATCAGAGAAGAGCCCGTCCCACCCTCAGACAGAGGGTGATGCAGTGCATCCAGGGCGTCTCCTCCAGCCCCTGGCCAGGGAGGGCTTTCCCCGGAGGACTGCGCCGCGTACAACAGCGAGCTGGAGGGAGCCACAGGCAAGAGCAGGCTAGGCAGAGGGCAGGGACCCGCAGAGGCCCGGAGGCTCCCGGGTGAGAGCTCCACCCCAGGGCAGGAGCGGTCCAAGGTGGCCTACCGAGAAACAGAGGTCAGTGTCACCGAATCTCAGGTGGGAAATGACCCAGACCTGGGCCTTAGAGGCCCCTCTGGCTGCTGGTCCCTTTGGAAGGAGGACAGGGGGACTGTCACCGGATCAGAGGAAGGACAACAGGCCTGAGCTCGGCAGGGAAGGGAGATGTGCTCTGACCGACAGGAGGGCCGCCCTCCCTAGGCCTCAGACGGAAACGAGACAGCTCTCGGCGCCCCGTCCCCGCTTACATGGTTTCCCAGTTAGGCAAAATCTCATTGTTCCACGTCAGGACAGCATTCCCGATGCTCTCTTCCTGCCGGCATCTTTCTTCCAGCTGCTTCTTCCTCCGCTGCGCTTCCTTCAGCTCTGGGATCACAACGGAGAGAGGAACAGCTCCGCTAACTGGCAGCCACCACCTCAGGCGGTAACTTTGCTCAGTCGCGCAGCAAAGACCCCAGAAAGGCACTGACGGAGGCCGTGCGACCCACCCTTTCCCTCCGTGGGCAGCTCAGAAGCCATGGTTCTGCCTTCACTGAGGATCCCACAGAAGTGGAATCGCAGTGTTGTCTTCCTGACTGGCTTATTCCACTAAGCATGAATCCTCAAGGCTCACCCGTGTTGAAGCACATCCCAGAAGCAATATCCTGTTGTGTGTATTGACCACATTATGGTAATCACATATATTTTTTAAAACATCCTGGAGTCCTAGGATGTTGCAAGGCATTTTACCAAATCCTATCCCATCTTGTAAAACAGGAAACTCGCCCGGCCAGCATGGCTCCGTGGTTGAGCCAGGAGGTCAGGGTTCGATTCCCGGTCAGGGCTCATGCCTGGGTTGTAGGCTCGATCCAGACTGGGGGGCATACAAAAGGCAGCCTATCGATGATTCTCTGTCATCACTGATATTTCTCTTTCTCTCTCTCTCTCTCTCCCTCCCTCCCTCCCTCTCTCTCTCTCCCCGCCCCCCTGCTTCCTTCCTCTCTGAAATCAATACAAATATATTTAAAATAAATGCAAAGGAAACCGAGCCCAGAGAGAGCGAGCTGTGGCCCTCACTGCTGGCGAGGCTTTCCCCAGTCCATACTCTCACCCTAGTCAGCCTCACTCCTGGTGTAAACTCAAAGTGCGGACACCCTGAGCAAAGCTAGCAGGAATGACATGAGTCGAAGCACGCACTTTTGTGGAAAATTATAAATTTCAAAATGCTAAAGCCTTCACCACAGTTCAGGTTCAAGGGGCCCAGACAGGAAGCAGGAACTATCCAGACACAGAGCCCTGGGCTGCCTCACGCGCCCGAACACACGGAGCCCCTCACTTACCTCGCTTCTTGGCCTGGACCACCATTTCTTCATACTGCTGCCTGTGCTTCTGGGCTTCTTCAGCGGGCTTCGCTGGCAGATTTCTTGATAGAAAGTAAATGATTTTACACCATTATGAATCCTATATGATAAAGAGCTAATGTGCTAATTAGACCGGACAGCAAAACCACCTTCTGGAATGACCTTCCGGAAAGACCGGTAAGGCAGCCGGGGCCACGAGGGCCGAGCCCCTTGCACGAATTTCGTGCATCAGGCCTCTGGTATCAAATGGAATTCTTTGAGAAACAAAACTTGAAGCATTACTAGTTAAAAATAAAATTTAAAAAAAGCTCAAAAAACAAAACTAAACACGTTAAGATGACAAAGACACAGCTCTTTCATAAACTAAAAATACTTTCTTGCCCAAACCGGTTTAGCTCAGTGGCTAGAGCATCAGCCTGTGGACAAGTCCCAGGTTCGATTCTGGTCAAGGGCATGTACCTTGGTTGCGGGCACATCCCCAGCAGGGGGTGTGCAAGAGGCAGCTGATCGATGATTCTATCTCATCGATGTTTCTAACTCTCTATCCCTCCCTCTTCCTCTCTGTAAAAAATCAATGAAATATATTAGAAAATAATAAAAAAATATTTTCTTATACAAATAAAATGAGCTCATGGTAAAAAATGTGAATTATAAAGAAAGAAGAAGGTGACAATTACCCATCATTCAAAGAGATAAACACTTAACTTTTTGGTGTTTTTCACTTTAGTTCAAAGAAACTTTGATCTGACCACAACACACTAATAACTGTTGACACTTGTCTGTGAAGGTGGGACCCTAACAACATATTGTGTGTACATGTGAGAACACATTTTCTGGCCGGTTTGTAAGTGTGCACGTTTCACACTGGCTATAATATGTGGCTCATCGGCGTGTAAACAAATGTCTACCATAGTTCTAAGCAACTATGAATCCTGTTTGAAAGAATAAAATGCTCGTTCTCCTTCAGAAATGGACGGTCCATCGAACAGATGGCCACCAGCGGAGGGGGTGCTGGGGCCAGCAGCTCCCGCGGGTCCCAAATGACCCAGCATTGGCCAGGCAATGCTCCGCAGGACCGGCTGCCCCCAAACACCGCTTCCAGCACCCTGCTGGTGTTCTCGTGCGGTTACAGCCAGCCGACAATGTACAACCGCTCCTTCCGTACTTGTGAATGCTAAGTTAAAGGAAAACACCGGCTGAAAGGAAAACCCTAGGCACACGTGTACGTTAGAGGACAGCTTTCCAAACTAGCCACTTCCTAGCCCTAGGACACGTTAATAACACAGGAAACGAAGAGGAACTCGGCATTTTTTGTTGTTGCTCATCCTCACCTGAGGATATTTTTTCCATTGCCTTTTTTTAGAACAAATGGAAGGGGGGAGGGGGAAATGGGGGAGAAGGAAAGAGAGAGAGAGAGAAACATCAATGTGAGAGACACATCGATTGTGTCCCGCACATGCTCTACACGGCGGGGATGGAACCTGCAACCCTGGTATGTGTCCCTGACCAGGAGTCAAACCTGTGACACGCTTTGGTGCACGGTCAGACACTCTAACCACTGAGCCACGCTGGCCAGGGTGGAAGTGGGCATTTTAATGAGGGCAATGGCTCCCTCTTCCTCCCTCTGTGTCCCTAGTTCCCTTCTAATGGGAAGGTGACTGATGAGTGAGGTGTCCCCACCCGCTAAAGCCAACACCCAGACTCTGGTTGGGACTCACGCGGGTCTGTCCTCCAGGATGAGTGCGGTGGTGGAGAGCGGCTCGAAGTCAAGGTTCTTCCTCACATTCTGCTTCGGGGAGGGCGGCCTGCTAGCTCGGCCAGCCTGGTCTTCATATTCCTGGGAAAAGACACTGAGGTTACGGGGGCCTGCAGCTCCGACAGGACGCCGCCCTGGGAGAGCGAGAGCACGCTGCTCTGCCGCCTGCAGGCTGGCTGCAGACGGCGTGCGGAGCAGAAGGCAGGCCCCCAAGGCAAGGCGCCTGCAGCTCGGCAGCTCCCACACCGGTGACAAGTCCCCAGGCCTCGCCCCAGCTGCCCCTTCCCGAGGGCCCGAGCGTTGCCTCCGGTCTCCTCGGCGTCGCCTGTGATTTTAACTGGTTATTACAGTAGCCGCTGGAAACCTCAGAGCAGACCCACGGCCAGGTCCGGCACGCGCCTGACCTCCGGCCTCCTCCCATACCCTAAATTTCTGACCACCTCCTTCCACCCTTGGCATTTAATGCGTATTTATTGGCTATTTCAAAATTTCCTGAAATGAGGAACAGGTTAAAATCTTTTGCATAAATAAAGCTCTTTCATTTTCTTAAACCAGAAACATCCAAAAAAGAAATCTTGAACATCGTACGAAGCCGTCACTGCGAGCTGCTACACAGGGAACGGCCATGCCTGGCCACCTGAGCGCAGCCCCACGCTGCCGGTGACCACATTCCACACACCCAGCCAGGGAGCTCAGGGGAGCCAGGCACGTTGGCGCCAGAGTCCAGCTTCTGAACGTGTGTGTGTGTGTGTGTGTGTGTGTGTACCCTTAGCCCTCTGCAAAAAACAAACAAGCAAACAAAAAAACACAAACCCCCGCTATTCTCCTGCTGCCTGTTAGGACAAGGCTCTTGGACCCCCCTCAGGAGAGGACAATCTAGCTGGGAAAGCAGGACACCCAAACGCACACTGAGCCTGAGACTGAAACCACCATTTCGGGAACAGAAGCAGCATCCTGAGTGGAAAGTGATTAACTGCTAAATGAGTTTTATTGACACCAGCTGCCAAGAGGGGTGCTTCTGGCAAAATTATTCGGCAACGATTACTCTCAGCCAGAAAAGCCTCCAGAGACTCCTCAAGTGCAAAGGGAAGTGATCTCCCCCGAATGCGCAGGCTACGCGAGGGCGCCACCCCGGGCGGGCGGGAGTTTCTGTACGTCTGGACCCTTAACACCTCCCACACCGACTTAAAGTGGTGCCATTCAAATACCACAATGACCTCCGCTTACCAAGATCGGAGATAACCGACGCCCTTGGCCACTAAGTCTAACATCCCAGCACCTGCGTGTGCCAGGCGCTCCACTGCCGCCTACCAGCGCCAACTCCGGGAAGCTGCGAACCTGGGTCTTCCAGGAAACACACCCACACCGTGTTGAGAAGGAGTCAGAGGCTGCCGCCTGTCAACAAGGGTCAGTATCGAACGCCCCTCTAGGTGCTTCAGCTCGGCTGACCCTGGTCTAGGGAGCTCCACGCCAGGCCCACAGGAGCCCGGAAGTGGGCTGTCCCAGAACTGGACGCCCGTTTCCATTTGCTCTTGTGTGCGTCACGCTGTCCAGCTTTATGTCCGTAACAAGCTCCCTGGCAAGTGTGAGCCCATTTTACAGCTGTGGCAGCTGACCTGCCCTCAAGGACACAGCCATAGGGGGTGGGGCCTGCAGGACTGAGGGCCCGGGGAGGCCCCTGAGGCCTGAGCACAGCCCCTGGTGCAGGGAAGTGCTGCCCTGGCCGCCGGGGGCCGGGACCCTCTTCCCCTCGGACCTGACAACCTTGTGGAGCAGAAGAGACGCTCCGGGCCAGACCCAATCAAGGAGCACGCAGGGAGGAGGAGTAAGTGGAGCAAGGCCTTGCCTCCTGCCCAGCACAAGCAGGACTCTCAGGCTAGAGCTCTGAGCTCTATTACGAAGCAGCAGCAGTGGCAGCTGAGGTCAAGGAGCTCGTCAAGGGCTTCAAGAGTTCCCCGTTCACGGGAGCCCTCTGAGGGAGGAGCGGCACGGTCCCCAGCACGCACACCGGGAGGTGGAGGCCCAGAGCGGCCATGACTCCTGCAGGGGAGCTGGATCAGCTGCCGAGCCTTCTAGCTCTGCAGCCACGTTTCTCAGCGACGGCCACGCTCCGGAACGCCTGCAGCCACCACTGCAGGCCCAGGTGACGCAGTCCTTCCCACTCAGTCTGAAAAGCTTTGCAGCGGACGGACACCGTACTGCTGAACTCAGTGCGCTGCAGGGCAAAACTCACGCTGTAATCAGAGCTCTACGTGATTAGAAAGCAAACAAAAGCAGAGGAGCCTAGCCCCTGCCCACATGTGGAACGCCAGGGACAGCCTTTCAGGACCTGGAAGCAGCGCTCCCCAACAGGAATGCGCCGGAAGTTGCTGCGGGTCCTGGTCCAAACCCAGTTCTCCCACAGCCACCGAGAGGTCAACCGTGAGCTCCTGCTCCAAGCCAGACCGCCCACCCCGGCGACGACAAAGCGGGGCCCCGGAGCCTTGTGGGTATGCTGGGGCGGGAAAGGGTGCAGTGGCAAACAAGAAGTTTCTGGAAAAACAACTTCCAGTTGTGGGTTACGCTGCTGGGGCCAGCACGGGATGTGGCTTTGGAAGCAAAGGGACTTCGCTCTGGGCCCCGGCTCTGACCTCAGGCAATCACCTTGCTCTGCTTCCAGCTCGGCGTCAGTTTCCTCAGCCGCTGAGGACTCCGGTGAGGATGAGAGGACCCATGCCACACGCGCGCGCCCTTTCTGTGCGGGCAGGTGGCGGGCAGTCCCCGCCTCAGCCCGCTATCGTTCCAATTGGGCCCTCCTGGGGTCCTGCTCTGAAGTCTGGGTCTAAACCAGTGACGGCGCCTTCATTGTGCTCAGCAGCAGCCCTGCGAGCTCATGGCACAAACCGCCCACTCAGGCGGCGGCAAGGAACTCGGAAGGAACTCAGAGCGGGGCTCTTCAAAGCCGCGTGGCGATCAGCTGAAGCGGTCACGCCGGCGTTTTTTAAAGCTAGCAATACAAAGCACCGAGTGCACACAGCAAGGCCAGTTTGCTTCCGTTCTAAACCCGGTTTTACCCGTGCGCTGAGTAACTGTCTGACAGGGTTGGGGTGGACGATGTCACATCGGAAAGGTTTGCATAGGTCGTCAAGTCCCTGCCCTGCGTGGCTCATCACGCATCTGCTGGGAACACAGACCCACACAGAGACAGCAGCAAACAGAATGTGCTGCAGCTAATGGGGGCGGGTGAGGGGGAGCAGTTGGCAGGAGCAAATGAGCAGGCCTCACTCCACACAGGGCCAGGAGCGGAACAGATACAGCCGTCAGGGGAAGAGGGAAAGGGCCCCGTTTGTGAGGGACCACAGGGCCAGGGGCGAGTAAGACGCAGCAGAGGCTGGGCATCAGGGCAGACCATGGAAACCGCCGGGAGAGAGCAAGTGCCGTGCCACGGGGGCCCGAGGACAGGTGTCCATGGCTGGGAACAGAGGAAAGCAGCTCACAGGGGGCCATCTGAGTGGACAAAGGATAGGGATCCCAACAGCACACGCAGCAGCCTAGCGGTGCACGTGCGTGTGCTTATCCACGGGGAGCTGAGCATAAGCTGTTTTGCTCTGAATTTAAGGGCTCAACAACAAGCCACCCGAGCTGCTGAGCAAGGAGAGCAGGTGGGAGCGGGGCCTGTCACTGCACCCACGGTGGGGTCCACAGGGCGTGTCTCCAGCACGTGGGTGAGCGGAGCAGTGTGAAAGGCAGGACAAGGACACGGGGCTCCTGTGTGAAGCGCATACTTTGCCAGTTAAAAAGGAAAAGAAATAAAGCCGGTCTCAGCGAACATTTGCTTTAAGAGAACAAAGGATCAAGATTATCAAATGATGAAAAGACCGTGTTCCTGGCAGGATGATAGAGGGGTCATCAAGGCGACTCACTGAGCTGTGGGTGCTGTAAAGATGGCCCATTGTGCCACCCTCCTGGCCAGTAGCGCTCTGGCTTCTGGGAAAGCTACCTTAGCTACTGTGTTTCCCCGAAAATAAAACATCCTCGGAAAATAAGACCTACTTACAAGTTTCCTTCTGAGTGAAATATAAGGCATCCCCCCGAAAATAAGGGACCCCCCCTAGGCTAAACATGAGAGATTTGGTCCACTGATTCTGAAAGAAATGGAGTCACAAGAAATTCACCAGGAAATTCAGGAATTGGATTGTTATGATGATGTCCCAGAAGATGATGACATGATTCTCATTGAATAAATGAGTAAATTCTTGATACTGTAGGATTCACAGTTTGTCTGGTTTGTGTTGACAACTACCATACTACCGTACCGTATACAGATAATAAATTTCCTTTATTTTCATTTAACAATAAATGTGTACCGTATTCTTCTTCATGGAAAAATAAGACATCCCCTGAAAATAAGACCCAGCGCATCTTTGGGAGCAAAAAGTAATATAAGACACTGTCTTATTTTCGGGGAAACAGGGTAGAAGCAGAAAGGCTCATCAGTCAGAACTGTGTTTAAGTCTGACTCAACTGTATCCAGTATCAAGATTCTCCTTTTAGAATAATTGTGAGGGTTCTGGAGGTATGTCTGGAATACAGCGTGGCGGGTTGCCACACGTGGTGCCCATGAAAAGACTGACATGACCCGACGCCAGTGACAGCACAGCGCCACCTCTGCACAGGCCGGGGCCAGGCAGCCTGCAGGGGAGCTTGGGTGGGTGAGCGGGTGGAGGAGCAGGCCTGGGTCTGAACATCACCTCCCAGCGGGACCAGTGCCACCAGCACCTGACCTTGAGCACATCCCTTCACCTGTTTCCTCAATTATTAAATGAGAAGATTAAATGAGAATGAATTACATAGACACATAGCCACAGCAGGTGTCCAGACAATGACAGGGGTATTGCTGTCACTGCATTACTACAAAATGACTTTAACACATATACATTATTATTGATTTCAGAGAGGAAAGGAGAGGGAGGGACAGAAACATCAATGATGAGAGACAATCATTTATCGGCTGCCTCATGCATGCCTCCTACTGGGGATCGAGCCTATAACCCAGGCATGTGCCCTCCTGGTTCCCAACCACTGAGCCACACTCGCTGGGC